AAGTTGGAGGAAGAGTTTGATTTTTAAAGTAAATTTGGGAGAAGTAAATGATTTTCACCCAATATTAAATTATACTAATCGTTATTAAATAAGTCAAACCCTAATAATAAATGCTTCATCTCCCTTTCTGAGGATTTTACCTTTTGAATACATTGCCACCAAAAAAGCTCTTCTTCATTTATTTGTTTTTTCAATAATGTGTCTGATAAAAATGAAAGTGTATTTTGTACTTACTAGTACTAGTAAAGTGAGGTTATAGGTAATGTGTTAGAATTAAGGACAACATTTGCATCGATACCTTCTGAATGTTCAAAACATTTCAATTTAGTTTGGGATGGTGCTTAATTGCAATAAGTCACATATAGAGGTTTAGAAATAGAATATGACATCCAATTTTTAAGAAGTTTATCTTTTTACATTGGTTCAAAAGTAAAAGAACTAATCCAATAGAAGATCTTCAAAGCAGGTTGTATCCCACATCGTTAATTTAACATAATATTTGTCACTTTATATTTGATAGAGAAGACAGTTTACATCGCCGAGCTCAGTAACGTGGGCTTATAACTCAAGTAGGGGCATTAATGTGGTGGAATATTGGTGGCTAATATCTGGCCTGCCCTATCCAAGCACAGAGTTGGGTCACGCGGCCCAGACGAAGGTATGGGTTGCTTGGCTCCTAGAGTGGGGCGAACTGCGTGAGGCTGGTTCCACAGAGCAACGAACCGCTCTGTGCAGTGAGGATAAAACGCTTAGCTCCCGCTCTGTGCAGTGGAAGGATAACGGGCCTGTGTCGTCTAAGCCCAAAATTGCCTGATGGGCTGCTCTAATTAAACCACCACTTTTTGGGCCACTCTACCCGAGTAAGTTCTGAAAAGGAACTCGGATAATGAGTAATGACAAATAATATAGATATTTATATTATTCATGATTTTTGAATATGAACACTTTTGAGAGACTTGAGGAACTCTTGATTTGGGATTTTACAAATATAAAAATTAAACTTATTAATTATTCATTGGTTATCCATTTTCTAAGTGGATAATATGATTCTTACTAATATTTGATTCACTTTTTAAAAGTTTATTATTCAATCCATTTTTAATGAATAATATATGTGGATAACTATTTTTTTTTTAAACATTTTGCCACCACTAAAAGGCTAAGAGTATGTAAAGTTACCACTAAAAGGCTAAGAGTATGTAAAGTTAAAATTATATGAATAGTTGTTCATATCACCACAAAGAGTCGGTCAACTTGGTTGCTTTTTCTTTTTTCTTCTTGATTGTCTAATGTGAAACTAAAACATTCATTTGTTACACTCCAATCCTAAATGGGAATACCATGGCTCAACTCTAAAATAGTTTGCTTCCACCTAGATTTTGTGATCCTTTTTGTACTTAAGGTGGCAATATGCTGGCATTTATAAGAGTTCAATAAAACATGTATACAACAATCCTCAACCGTTGTAAGAATACGTAGTATAAAGCACTGGAACAGTCGAATTTATAGATAGGAGATATCAGTATGAAAAAAGTGGAGCCAGAACTACCAGAATTTATATATATGATGCTAGTTTATCATTAAGGTTTTACCACCCTTTACCCTGTTTAAAACACCTTTAATTCTAGAACGATAAAAACTTATCCGCACCGAATGTGCAAGAGAAAAAGGATCTGTTTTCCTGAGATAAAGAGGAGTGCAACATGTAAACCAAAGGAGAGTTACTTTGTAATAAGTGTACAGCAATTAGTGAAATGCACAACTACAATATAATTCAAATCCTTGTTCAACTGTGTCACCATCCACCAATCCCCCCCCCTCCCACCCCCACAAAAGGAACTACTAATGAAAGCATGAGACAAACAAACAGCATTACATCACCTTAGCTTTCATGAAGTAGCTTACCTTCTACGAAGTTTATTTGACTTGAGGAAAAGACCATTTCTAGCTAGCCACAGAAAAAGGAGATTCAATCAAGAAATACTGGACAAAACTCGAGAAAAGTCATATATGAAGACCACTAACACAAGCCCCAGATATCCTCTAATCTAGTTGTCACTTGACTCCAACTCAATCTAAAACTTCAATCACAATTTCTAGAGTTTCTTTCCACACATTTTCCAAGGTACACTGCTGAATACAGGTGTAAATGTTAAGAAGCCATAAAAAATAACCATATTTACCAACTTAAAACAGTACTTTCCTCTGGGTATGACATCTGCTTAAGAAGCAGCACAACATGATGGCACATCAGCTTATAGTACATATGCAGAGGACAACTTCAGTGATGGTAAAATGCATTGCACAAGCAGATACCCACCATTATTATGATACGATGGAACAGTGAGTATGTTTATGAAAGATCAGGTGATCAGCAGCAACATTAGGATACAATTAAAAAATATACTTCATTGTATTGTCAAATCTCTAAAGGAAATAAATAAAAGCTATACATGGTAAGGATGTATATAATTAACAGTTTAGTGACTTAAAATTTTTGCAGGCAACAACACGGAAAGATGGAGCAAGGCAAAGACTGGGAAACACTAAAAACGCCAATCGTATCATATTCACTACCCTTTTTTGGGATACGTTACACCATTCACTACTCGTCTTTAGCAAGCAATTGGAAAAAATCAAAAACTCTTGTACTGCATTGGATAAGCAAATGAAGTTGACTTTAAAACAAAATAGTTTTCAGAAAGTTAATATAAAATTTTCAGGGAGCTCTCAGAAACAAGGGATTGATGTCATCAACGAGTAATCAAACCAATGTCTCACTGTTATACCACTACAACTATTAAGATTTACTTTGATAAACTATATGACTAGCGCCTGGATCTTATCTTTGATCGCTTTTTGGTGCACTCATATAGCCCCTACTTGTATAGAAGATTGGGCATCTTTTGTAGAGAATCATGTTCTGATGTAAATTCTCTACTTTTTGGTATACTTCTTGTATACAGGAGTTTTCTCCCTTTTGATTAATACAATTTACCTTATAAAAAAAAACAAGATGCAATACGCATATTACCAGATCTCTAACAAATGAAATCTTACATTCTTATCTTGCTTAGTCGATCTTCCGCTAAACAACAGAAAATTTTGCATTCTTATCTTGTACATTACCAAAGCTCTAAAAAATGTAATCTTGCAGAAAGAACAAGATACTCCTTAAGTGATGAAGAATACAAGATAGAATGTAGTCAATCCATATGATTTTCATTGATGCATTTACACATAAATAACATTTACTATACCAATTCCAGCAGCAAAAAATTAACATCAAATTCTTATTTATCCAAAAGTAGCTAATAACCAAATTCTTATTTAACATCAAATTCTTATTTATTCAGATCAAGAGTTGAATGCCATAGCTGGAAGATTTCTTCTACTCAATCCAGCATCATTATTATCACAAAATCAGAAGAAACTATAACGTCTACACTAAATGACACGAAAGAAATGCGACTAATCACTCAGCTAAAAAAGAAACGTATAACGATTAAAATTTGAGGCAAATTCAGTACAGTTATGGGAATTATATCATTAGCCAAAAGCTCTTAATTCTCTTCCCTCAATTCAAAAAAATCTCCTAAATTTCCCACATTCTAATTATCAAAATCACCTATAACCCCCACCCCCAATATTTAAAAAGATCAATTTTTTTTATTCTGCAGTGACTTACTAGCCCTGATTTAGCTAAGAACTATTTGAATTCCCGTCCAATGTAGGGTCCAAGGACACGGATCTCGAAGCGCCATCATCATTTCCTTGCTCCTCTTTCTCCTTCTCTTTGTCCAATTCCTTCTCCAATTCAGCCTCAGCAGCTTTCTCGGCCTGTAATATAGGGGCATAATAATCACTATGAGCTTCCATACACTTCTTCAAAGCAGAAGTAACCTCAAAACACTTCTCTACAATATCCTCTTTGTTCTTTTCCCCTTCTTCAATGCATTTTTCCCAGTCAATAAATGCGTCTTTACACCCTCCCCCTTTCATAAACAAACAAAACCCACATTCACCCTCTTCTTCTTCTTCTTCTTCTTCCAAATTGGTATCTCTGTCTTTTTCTTTTTCTCCATTTTCTTCGTGGGTTCCTGCTTTGATTTCCTCTTTAGAGTTTTGGGTTTCAGCAGTTTCGGGGTGACAGGTCGGTTCAAGTTCGGATTTTGATTCGTGGGTCGGTGCAAGATCGGATTTTGATTCGTGGGTCGGTGAGGATTCTGTGGAAGAAGACATGGTGTTGGGGATTGTGGTGGAGCTAGGGTTTGAGTCTGAAAGTGTGGAAGAGAAGTTTCCACTGACTGCTCATAAACCTCTTCTTAAACCCTCTTTCTCCAGAGAATAATACTCCTTTTCTTTCGGCATGGTCTTTTTTCTTTTTAATACTTTTTCTTCTTATTTAAAAAGTATGTCTCTCTTTTTCTTAGGAAGAAAGTCAGATGTATTTTCGTTTTGGACAAGTCAAGGATGATTAGTCAAGAAAACTGGAATAGTAATTCCTTTTTTTTTTGTTTTGAGAGAGGAAAATACTGCATCTCCATTATCATTATTTTTAGAGGATTTTTTAATCTCATTTTTTGGAGGATTAATTTCGAATAATATTTTGCACTGAAATTATGCATGACTGAAAGAAAATGACGATGTTAAATATTAAATTCTAGATAAAGAGACTTAATTAAATTCTGATTATTTTGGAATAGATTATGTACTTATTTAATCAAGGTAAAAAGAGAATCAGCAAACGTATTTGTCTCACGGGTAATGGCAGTTTTTAATTTTATTCAATCAAAATTGTTAATAATAATAAATAAATAAAAAGTAGCCTTTTAATTTTTCAGGGCTGGCACAACTAGTGTCTTTTAGATAGCAGTTAAGCTTAGCAACGAAAAATGAAAAAAATATATGGATTACACCATTTAATGGAAAACGAAATACTATATTTGGTATTGTTTCGTTAACAAAAGGAATATAATAACCTATGAAGTTTGAGAACATATCAATGAATCACTAGTTCAAAATCATTCTCAACTAGGAACAATGCACTATTGGCTTTGAAAAAATAATACAGAAAAGTTTGCTTGATTCGCTATACCATGGGCAGATGTAGTACGTGTGATTGCATCCACTATTTGTGAACTTCAACTATACATTTAAATAACTTTAAAGAATATATCCATTTTCTATTCTTTTTCTTTTTTGTAACTTTTTGTATTCTCTCTCTCCTCCTCATCACCATTGATCTTGCCTTGTTCTGTAGCTAAGGGCCAATAAAATAACCCTTAAAGAAATCTGCAGCTTCTGTAGTCTGCCTAGTCTTTGTTTCTGAACATTAACCTCTTTTCACATGTGTTCAACTCTCCTGATCCTCCTTTAGGTCCAGAAGTGTAGAAAACTTCTTGAGCTTTGATGTGAAATGTTGTACTATATCAGGCAACATTTGACATATGAATTCTTCATTGTGAATGACTTTTATTGGTTGCTACAACTTGGCAGTTGCTAGCAATCTGATGAGTTGATGGATAGACATTATGTTCATCTTTATTCTTCTTTGTCCTCATCATCCTCTTCATGGTAAACGAAAGGAAGTGGTACTGACTTGAATGCGCGATATTTTCCTACATTGTTCAGGTGCTCATTTTCCAACCTGATAATAAATCAAAATTTTATCTCAGTTCGTGTACAATTATCAAGAAGATTTGTAACTTGGACTGTGAGAGTGTTCCAATGTCATTTCACAGAATTTCGAGATCATAAATATATGTCAGTCAAAAAATTCTCCCTTTGACATAATGTGATCATTGACGTGAGAATGGGAATGACTCCCCAAACAGAAAAATTCAGCGACAAAGATGGTCATACCTGAAAAAATTCCACATGCCACGTCGAAGTACTTCTAAGCAAGCAAATATGCTTGAGACAGTACTTCCTTGCAAAGAAGGCACATTAAATTTTAATACCAGTTGTAGCCAAGCAAATCTAAGCAAGACATCCAAGACCTGTGAGAAGGTCGAAGAAAAGATTAGAGTGGCTGCCAGCCCATCATAAGATGAATTGAAGCAACTTAATTGTTATATAGAAATTACCATGGCTATGAAGTATACACTTTTATGGCGCAGTACGAGCTTATCCCGCAAGAACTTGTTCTTGGACTTCCTTCTCAATAACCCCCAATCTACAACTATATCCCAGTATGTGTTGAAAAGAGTTGTGACAAGTGAGCTAAGAATAGCCAACACCTCCCAAGCCAAACTTTTTCTCAGACTATAAGCTGTTTTAATAACAACTGCCAGAATTGTCAAAAAGTATCTCAAGGCATTGTATGCCTGTGACTGATCTTTCTCTTCAAACAGTCGACGGATACACTACAGTGAAAGCATAACCAGGTGTAAGTCTACTTTAAAGGAAAATATTTCCTGCTCGAGTATTGAAAGAAATGGCATAAAGATATTGTTCAGTTATATAATTGGCCCACGTGGGTTGTGTAAGGACTTCCAAAGGCGTCTCTCTACCGTTACTATGAGGTTTTTAAGTCGGATGCTCATATCTTTCACAAGCTATTAGAGCTAACCTTTGTAAGCCCATATTCTGCCACTCATATGTTTGTGCTAAAGTTCATGCATGAAGCACAAAATTGGTTTAAATATGCAGGAGGGTGTTGATAATAGTTGTTCCACAGGGATTATGTACAGATTTTTAAAAGGGTTTATAAAGTCTAGGACTACTACATCATTATCTTAGGTCTTGGTTTGGATACTCGGATTGTTCACATATATCATAGTGGAATTATAGGTTCAATGCTTATGAGAATTTCTACTTACAACTAGTTATGGCATCCTTAACCATGAAGGATAATATCGCTGAGACTTCAATTTTCTATAGAAGCAAGACATATCGGTTATTCAGTATTTTATTGAGAAGATGAAAATATCTTAAGAGAAGAGATTTCCTTACAAAACCTGATTTATGCTTTGAAGCCACCTACGATATAGCTGAACAAGGAATGTAAGATTTCATAATTGCCAAAACAAACTAGAAGATTAACTCGTCTTGGAAATAAGTCGAGGCAAGGAATCATAAGAGTTGAAAGAAGAAGGATGGTAGATCCTTAGTGTCACTCATCTTTTCACATGCACAACTAATCGTAGAGAAATAACAATCAGAAGAAGATATCAGACCTGGAAAAACCGAAACCAATATGGTATGACCGCTAGGATGAAGTAAAATATGTTATACACATTGTGACTTTGGCACGTATTATGTCCGTGAGAAGATTTAACCCACGTATAATAGCAAATGTAGTACTCCAAACTCCTTATTGCCTCAACCTGTGTTATGTAGGAAGTTAAAACCACTAAACAACTAAAAGACGAAGTAGAAACTAAACTCTACATGTAGGGAAATCACAGACCTGGCTAGTAAGTTGATCTGCTAGAAAGAAATCTGGAAGAGTAACCTGCACACAATGAGAATTTAAAGAGAGTTAGCCCACCCAGAGATAACTATATGTTTTTTATTTACAACCCATTATCTGTCGAATTACCTTGTAAAGAGGAGCGCAGATGCAGCGAAAGATGCATCTTATAAGGAACAAACGACTTGAGCGATAAATGATGTTGAATGGGCAGAAAGTAATAAAAAGAAGAACCTGCATACAGAATTATCTTTGGTGAAAGAAAGTATATAACTGCAGTAGAACCGATCAGTCAGAAAGCTCTAAAATCTTACCGTCATCAATCCCAAAGGAACATATTCAATACGTGTTACATATTCTTCAGCTCTTGAATTCATGTGCAGATGCATCAGTAGAGCGGCAAAGACGAGCATTGCGAGACCATTACTAAGAAGAAAGACTTCCCTATAGCTTAACTCGGTTCCTTGCTTGAAACCAAAGATAAACGCATAGTTTATTTTGTAGCGCCTCCAGAAATATATGTTTGCAGCATATAAAAGCATATGCAGCACAATGTATGCATAAAAACTGCCAGACAATTCAAAACATTTCTCTAGTCAAATTACAGGTTTAGGAACTCAAAAATGTGGGTTTTCACCTGTGCTTGTATTGGTAAAATCTTAGTAGAAAAGAGTTTGATCCTTCTTTACCTGTAAAGTGGGACTATCTTGTCCAAATAAGAGGTCCCTTCTTCTTTATCCATCAGCTTTCTGTCATCTCTTAATAGAATAAAAGCAACTAGTAGAGCAATCGAGCAGCCAGAGAGAAAACCTGGAAATTTTGAAGGACGAGTTGGAATCAAAGTGAAGGCCCAAAATACAAAGGGTTTCATAAAACCAAAAACTGAAATCATGTTATATCTGAAGAAAAAAGTGACTGTCCCGTCGGTTCTACACTTTAAAATGATAGTACATCATATGTTTGTATTACTTGCCTGACAGGAATGTTATACGATGTTTCTCTATCTTATGCTTTGGACGCAATATTTTCATGCCTTTTCTGCGGTTTGAGTGTGAAAAATGCTTGATGAAGGTGGTCTCTACCCTGTCCAGAAGACTAGTAACCTAAAGAATGACATGATACCATCAATGTATATAGTCATTTTCAAGAAAAGGCATCCAGCGTGATAAAAATTTCAGTTTAAAAGTATGCCATAATCCTAATGGTGGAAAGATAGATTAGACTAACCTCCTCAGAGCTTCCAAGGTAAGATTTATCCACCATTTTCATGTATGACCTTGCTGCTTTTCTAGATGTAATCTGCACTCGGAAAAAAGATTCAACATTTTAGGATCTCAAGATCCAAAGTGACAGACTGAAGCATTTTTGGTGCTTGTTCAGAATGTTGCTCACTTGTAACTGATGTAATGCAAATAAGATTTTGGTTAGTGAAACTTGACCTTTTCATATTTTTTGAGGATCTTGGCCAATGCAGAAAGGTTCATATAGCTGGTACAATTCATCCAAAAATTAGCAGGCCAGTACAGAGAGCCATCGAGTATAGAAAATTAAAGTAAATTGACAGAATTATTTTGGAAAGGAAAGCAAATCAAGCTCTATTTTCCAGTACCTGAAGTGTTTTAGAAGGCGAAGTTTTTGATAGAACTCAAAGAAAATAATCTTCAGCCTCTGTTCAACCTTCTTTAGTTCCTCTTTCTTATAACTCAAATCATTCTCTTTGGATTCTCTCAAAACACCTCTTATAGTCGACATGGGACTTTCAAAAGTATTAACAATCTTAATGTGATCTAGGATTTCAAGAGGATCTGATTTATGTGAATCGATATCTCTCTTCTCTCTTAAAGTATTACGGTTAATGGGAACCTTAGGATGTGAGGCATTAGTACTAGAACCCTGTCTGCTGTAACTTGGGTCGAAACTTGTGCCGACAGTCATATGATCTGTATCTGTACATTGACAGTTAGTTAAGAATCTGAAAATGCACTAAAACCAAATAACATAAACATCATCTAAGGCAAAAAATATTCTCCTGAATCTCATTTATTTCTGCTTAATTACACCATTAAGGTAAAGATAGTCTATATGTGAAATTCATGAAGTGCATGCGGTTGTCTCCCATACCTACAGTTGTCATTCTGAGAGGAGATGTAATCCTCGAGGGCGTTGAATTGTTAATGTCAAATGAAAGACGTTGAAGGGAGCCAAAAGCATCGAAACCAGGATCCATCACCTTGATACGTAAAGCAATCAACGCATCCATCTGCTTATTCAGCAAAGTTACTTCCCTCATGACTTCATCCACCTTGTCCTTATAGAAGGTATTAACCTTGTTGAACTCATGGTCTAGTTTGTTAAAGAAACTAATTTCATTCTCTGCTCCTTCAGGAGATCCCAGGAATTTTGTTATGTAAAACTTTCCGGAGTTTTCATGTTGCACCGTGTTCACTGCTATCACCTGGTCCTCAATATCACCAGTATTCTGAGTACTGGATTGTAGATTTAGACCACTAAAGTTCCGATATAATGCCAACCTCTGGTCTAAACTTCTTGCAGGAGTTGGAGGCTGTTTGCTTTCCTTGGAACGGCGGATATCCTGTAATATTTGTTTGAGTCCATTGTAATCCACATAAGCTTCTATCCACTCTGGGACCATTTCCCGTTTGAATTCCTTACCAAACTTCATTCTTGTGACTCAACAAACTCCAATGTTTTATTTTTATCTGTTTATGACCGCCTGAAACTTAATAGTTATACCCTTTACTGAAAGCAAAAGCCTTACTGCTGAGGATATATCTGCAAACTCACATTCAATTGATCGAGTTTCAGTGAGATAAAGATTCGAAATAATAAATGGAACTATATATTTTTCCTGCATGGATTAGCATGACAGAACAATGTGCTATTAACAACTGACATAGAAAATGAGAATTGGGCATCCAATTACACAAAAAAATCAGCATCACAAAGTTTATTCTATCTGCCTTTCAATTTAGCTCATAATATCTCAGATCAGCGCTTTAGAAGAAAATGTGAAAATCCAAGCAAAGATATAAAATCAGATGAATAGAGGAGGCTAAACTAACAACTTATTCCTCCTTCCCACAAATAAGAATGAGAAGAAACAAAGAGAGATAGAAACTTTTGCTATGGTTGAAGAGGCACTGGAATAATATTACTTGGGACCTTTCCAACGCTAAGAAGAAAGCTAGCATTTAAACACAAGTCTATATATCAATTTTAGTGATGGGCTGAAGTTTACTCCATCTTTTCAATCATCAGGTGAAGCAATGACTAGCTACAGGGACTTCTCATTTTGACGAATCCAACGAATCCACATTTGTACCGGAAGCTATCCCTCAATTGGCCTACCATATCAGGTAGAGTTTTAAGTTCTATATATGGACGAGTAATTACAAGTAAATATCTATGATAAACATTAATTGATGACCTAGTAAAAATGGTAACTAGCCAGTTATTATATGTTAAATTTTACTAAAATGCTAAAAATCATCACTATCAAGTATATATGTGATCTGCAACTCATACTTTTCTCTGCTTAGTTCATAAATCCTACTATCGAGTATTGCAATCAGCAACTCATGCTTTTCTCTCAGAAATCACCAGAATCTAATCAAGTTTGCCAACTTGGGTAAGAAGCAATCACTCAAACCAATTTGGGTCACTGAACGAGAAACGTGGAGAAGCTAATTGGACAAAAACTTCAGATTTCCAATAGTTCGCCTTTCAAAAATAGCTTATACTAATTAGTACTCCACGTAAGAATATCATTAAGCTGATAATAGTGCACATTGAACTAAGCATACAATATTGAAATACAAACCAACAACCTTTCCACTTTACCAATTATGCTTCAACTCAAATGCAAAACCCAGAACCAGAAACTTCCTTCAATACAGAATGTAAATATAATTACATGTAGAGCTCAATGCCCCAGAGCCACGATTCATTTTCCCTGTAATTTATGTGCCAAAAACACAAACACAAACACAAACAAACGCGCACATACATATTGTGAAAACTACAAAAAACACATGCATGTTGCATTATACAAAAAAAAAGTGTGAAATTGGTCGGTACCGTTCACCGTTTGAACTTTGAAAAGGTAGGTGATGCAGAAACTGGAGAATGGATGAAGAAGAACTTTTTAGAATGTGAATAAATGCTGCGAATTTATAGTACAAGTTTTGAATTGTAATATCAACAGACAATCATCAGCTGTAACGCGCTCGTTTTAGTTATTTAGGACTCTGGGTAATCTCGTGTTACTTAACCTACCGTAATACTATGCTCTCAAGCAATCGACGTTCTGCTTTGTGTTGACTTTAGAATTTTTCGCCTTTTTTAACCTATACGACAATCTTTTTATTGGTAAAGATAAATTATAAACCTTCACATTTCACATGTTGAAAAAAACACTAAGTCTGAAGCGTTCAATATTCAAATATTTCAGTGTGTATTTAAATTTGATATTTTAATGTTTAAAAAAGAAAAAACAATGCTTAATTTTGGATAACAACTACTATTAAGTCTAATATCAAGCAAATAACATGTTTGCATTCTATTTGTGAGAATTTGTCATAAATTAATTAGTTTTATATAAATTGTTAACCTACTACAAGCCCCCACAGTGCACAGATAGCCGTATTAGTCAGTACTTATTTTATCCTAAATTTGTAAACTAAAAATCTTAACTTCGGGATAATTCAGAATATTTATGTCCTGAAAAATTAAACTAGAAATTTAAAATTGAGGATGCAATGACCAATTTTTAAATAGCATCCATTTAAAATGGCCACCTCGTGTCATTTCTACATTACATTGAGTAGGTATAAAAAGAAAAAATATTACGGCAAATTAACTGTCAACATAAATAAAACTATGTTATGATGAATAACTAATATAATTATTTTACTTAATTTAGAATTGAATCATAATGATCGAATGTTAGTATAATGATAGATTTTAGAGTAGACCCTGAAGAGAGAAGGTTACGGTGAACTCGACCACAGAGGATATGCCATTTTTGTACTTATCAGATTCGTTAGGTCGTCCATTATTGAACACGTGTCCTCAGCACAGTAGCTGTTTTTTTTTTTTTCTGTTTCATGGTGTGAATTTCTGCGGAATTTGATGCTAATGTGGCGGTCCTCATTGCTATAGCAATTTTATACGCAACATTTTTGTCAAACATTCTCTTTTTCGTACCCAAAAAAATATATTATTCCTTTTTCCTTCACTATAGGGGAAAGTAAGAGATTTTAATTTTAGTGCTCAATAATAGGTATGGCCCTCGAATGTTGGTGGGGAAGGTTGGGATTTTAATTGTAAGTTTAATAAATTTTTGAGATAGAAAGAGTATAAACTTTTTCAAATGACTTTCGTAACGCATTTTCTAAAGTTGGTTTCGGAATTTATCATTGCGCACTAACAAAAGTTATTTGGTGCGTTCCAGTGATTGTCACGATCCAGGTTTATAACATGTATTATCCGTTTTCGGATTTTTCATGGTGTTATTTTTCGAGCGTGTACGATATACAAATTTGTATCATAAAACTTTTCACTTTCTTTGCCCCACCATCGTAGAGATTCAGCTCTGATACCATATTTGTCACGATCTAAATCCATGGCACGTATTGTCCGCTTTGGACCTGGCCTCTCATGGATTTGTCTTTCGGGTTATGCCACTTCGATCCCCAAAAGCACACATACCAATACCATGTGAACTTATGTCATACCTCATAATGCTCTTCATTTTCCTCGCCTATTTTGATATGAGATTCGCCTAAGGTGACATGTGCACTCCTTCATAAGTTTGTCAACCTAGAAGCATGTCAATCCTCTTTGGCGCGCCCTCATCAGCACACCTTCCGTCATGGGCATCTGAATAACACCTAGGGGTATACAAATCGAACCGGAAAACCGCATCAAACCAAAAAGTCAAACCAAACCGATTAAAAAATCCGACTAGGTTTGGTTTGATTTGGTTTGGTATTGAGTAAAAAATCCAAACCAAACCGACTTATAAATATATAATTTTCGTATATACTTTTAAGATTTTCTTTAGAAAATATCTAGAAATATTTGGGATTATCTTGCGGGATTAATAGTATATGAAGTGCTCCATATTTATTAACCTTAAATAATGAATTGTATGATCACTTTCTCATCAAGTTTTACTGAAAGGTGTTAATCTCTTTGTTCTTTCGTATTCATATCATATGTTAAGATCTACTAAATTGTTATATCTTTTACGAATGTGAAGTGATTATTATTATTTAGGTATCTTATTGATTTTTATATTTAATTACTAAATTCGGTTAACCTTGAAAGTGTACATCAACGAAACATTATTGTCAGACGACTAAAAAGTTAACTATTATGTGTTATACTAAGAAAATTTTGTCATAAGAATATTTTAATAGATAATATGTTTGTCAATTTTTTATATTTTTTACTAAACATATACTTGTTATCAAAAATTTAATAAAGTAAGATTAAAATAATATTTAAGTAAAAAAAAAAACTTGAAAATCTTGAAAAATCCGACAAAACCGAACCAATTCAAACTGATATAGTTAGTTTGGTTTGATTTTGATAAAAATCGAACCAACTCGATCCATATACTCCTCTAGCAACACCAGCTTGTTTTTACTTATTTTATCCATACATCTTGATAAACAAAGTCACCTAAGTGTTTCTATTTGTGGGAGGTAAAAAAAAGAACATAATAAATTAGTCAATATACACGTAAACTTGGCTTAAATACTATCAATATAAAAAAATGAGTAAGGGCAATCACGTTACCTGGGCAAGGATCTAAGTTTGACGTACCCATAAATGTAAAGATGTGATTGAATGTCAACGTGCTAATCCCAAAAGCTTGTTTCTTTGGATCTATGTATATTTTTTCAACTCTCAACTGTACCTATGTTGGCAATGATATAATATACTTATCATCTAGCGTTAAACAACATGGCTGCGTTCTTACTTATCCCAAAAACCGCATATTCCTTCCTCTTCCCCCTTTGATTGTAATATATTATTTCTACATATAGCGACTGTCAAGTTTCCTCATCATACTTCTAATTTTGCTTCTATCTTTAGTTTATATTTTTTTTTTTGGGGGCGGTTGTGTGTGTGGAGGTTTCACAAGAACTTGCTTTTATAATATTCTACTGTTTAGATGGTCAATGAAAATAATGTAAAGGTCATTTTGAGTAATTTATGATACAATTATCTCATTGTGTCTAGTCATAACACATTGTACGAGTAAGCAAAACTATAAAAGAATCATTAAAATTGAGGGCATTACATAAGATATAATTCTTGTTTTGGATAATTGTGATGTGTAAAAGCCAAGCCATGCTTGGGTTAATTGTCAAATTAGATAGATGTCAAAATTTAATGCAAGTCAATAAGTAATCTTACAAGGAACTAGGCTTTCCTCTTTCTACGTTTCTAATTAATTGGTCTCCATCTTCTATGCTAGTATGTCTACGTTAGTATGCTTAATTGTTTATCATCCAACAACTCCTATGATATCTTTCCTCATTAAAAATGGGCAATTCCTAAAATGAAGTCATTGGCAAGAATTTCTTCCAACATCACCAAACATTCTCTAGAAAATAAAGGCTTAAACTAATGCCATGTTGTGAAAAAAAAATACACATACACAATACTATTTTCAGGCGAGGAATTCAGTTACGCCCTTTACCAAATTATATAACACCACCATTTTCCAGGTTTCCGGTATAGGTAAAACAAATTCAAATCACGATTCAACATCAAAATTCAAAAAATGTTTTTTGTGATGTCTTGCATGGGAAAGAAATCCAACCCTTCAATTGTATAAACACAGGTTAGCAGCTTCAACTAGCCTAATCGTTTCTAACACATACCAACTATCAATACCATAGAGGGAAGAACAAATCTTCAACAAAAGAACTCTGCTCTTTGGTACAACTTAACCTGTAAATGGAGAAACTAAAGTAAGGAGCATGTTACAATAAAAACATCTCATACTCAGCTAGCATAAGGTGCAACTTCAGGAAGTACATGAACAGTTCTGACAAAGTCATAGAGAATAGACGATCTTGATGTAAGTTCTTGTTTCTTCACTCAGGGGGCATAAAGAATTCTATAAAATTCTTGAATTTACTTCGTTCCAGAGAAATGAATGTGGGATGACTTGCACTACTACGTGCTCTAGTCTACGAATTCTTGTGCTTTGTGATTTTCAAGAACTAATCGTCATCAATCAAAGGGAAGACTTCGAAGAAATACAACTAACACAGTTCTACTTAGACATGCAAAACAGGTTCTTCAGCAAGCGGCCTACACTATCGTGCAGCCTTCTCTCTGTCAAACAAAAGGTACTCTACAAGAACGACAAAGTTGAAATTGAAGAAATTATGTTGGACGCTCCATTTCAAGTTGATCAACTGTTGGAACTATTCTCATCACCAGGCTTAATTCCACTGCAGCAGAAGAAATGTGGTAATTTGACTTGACCGCAAACCCTACAAGGTTATTTCCAAGCAGAAGAATGTCAAGAGTATTAGCATGGAATAGAGTAGTAGACCAAGACAAAGACCAACAAAAAAAAGGGAACTGAGAGCACAACAAAATCGTTGCATTAGACAAGAAAAAAGAAACATGACATTAAGCAGTTGTCTTCCTTACTGAGGACCAAGATAAACATCATGGTGGCGATAAAAACTCACACCCGAATCACAAAAATCATGCATGTCTTTCAAATATCATCATTTAAAATTTCAATTTCCCTACAGAATTTTTTTTGTATGTGTAAACAATCATAATCTTATTGTTTAACAATCATTCAAGCAAGATGTTACCTTGCAGCAAATCATACTTAAAACCCATCGACTCGGAAAACACTTGAGAAGCAAAAGGCTTTAGTCTGTCCACTGAGCTAAGATCAGACAACCAGGTAAAATCTTAAAGGCTTACACCATTGGACAGCCAATGCAAGCTCAATAATGGGATATGTGATGAAAGAGAAACAATCTTTTTCCTCCTTGCCAACCTTTTTTCAA